TTTTATACTTCTGTGAGAGCTGGCAATGCCTCGGATCAAAGATTGATTACCATTAGTACACAAACTACGATATTTTTTGCACCAATTATAGACTCTGACACTATTTCGAAGGAAAAACAACTCAGAAATATCAAATCCTACAAAACCCAAATATATCAATTCTTGGAAAAATAAACTAACCAGCTAGGCAATTCTCAAATAAATTAAAACACTACAAATCACAGGCAGTGTAAAGCATATCAAATCAGAGACTACTAATAACCCTTAAATCTACAGTATATATCGATTCTTACGCTATTGACATTGTGTCAGATCACAGAAATGCTAACTAGACATCAAATTCTACACACACTTAATAACACATCTAATCTTAGACAATTAACAACACATCGAAGAATAAACAACTGAAAGTAAATTTAACCATAGATTAACGATATCATGTGGAATCATATATTACTAACAGTACATATAAATCGAGACTTCATATAAGTTTTAAGCCGTGCAAGACGTTCACTTAACATGTATGGTAACGCTTAAAACCTGGTAGTGACGAAACTGGTAGTGGTAAAACTCGTGTTATTACTTCTGGCGAGATCTACCATTACTACCGACGAAACATGAAACATGGGTTACTAAGAAATACGACAGCACGTGAAATAATGTGAGGTAAACATGTTATGATACTATAAGCTCAACTACCAAGGATGCTGTCATAGCCAATAACAGACAACAAAATATTTTAACAAAAATTAAACCATAAGCTCCTTACCATATTACCAATTTATGAAATAACATACAACTAAACCTGTATGATAAAAACATGCGAACATACACTCGTCACAGTTTTATCAGTCATCTCATCTTTATACAAATAGTACTTCTTACCATACCTAGATTAAAATGTAGACGACTGAAAGTACACCCGAATGTACACTTCTCATAATACATACACCTAGAAATACACTTGCTGCAGGATAGCATTTCTGTTGGAAACAAATTTTAGCAAACTGTGATACTTCTCTACAATAGGCTTCACTAAATGATAAAAGTAATAATTAAATAAGAAGTTAATATAGTATTTTGGGGCCACATCTTAACGAAAATCATTAATGAATCTTCATTTAGTTTAAAGTTATTCGGTACCAAGATATTGATATATAGTTAGGGTAATTACATTTCACCCTAAGACACTGTAATAATAGTATGGTATTGTGTTGTGATACTTACAACGAACAGAATTCGAATGGATCTTCACGCCACACATAAGTTCGAAAACCTACTTTCTTAGTTTATTTGTTTTAATTATCCAGGAATTTCTTAACAGCGTCTGCACAACAACTCATCAGCCCCAGTTTCTGCAGAAATAGTGCCGACATGGCGCATGCTCGGCGGGAGAGCCAGTTTAATGAGGTGCCTGCTGTGTTCCTGGGCTTCTGTTGTCTTAAAAGACATAAGCATATATAAATCAGCTTGAGAGAGATCTTTTACATCTAGCAGATAGTTTGTACTGCACTAACAATATATGATTTATTTATATTATAATATTGTTTTGCTATAAAACTGTTGCAATTGTAAATTTGTTCAGACATATAATTTTATATATGTTAAGTATCCTTTGTCACACTTTATAAAAATTGTGTTTTGTGGAACATAAATCTGGTGTTTCGGCGACTACAACGCAAGTTCATATTAAAAACAACACAATTATTGTGGGTTAACAAAAATATAACACAAATGTATTGGCAGATGTACGTTCTTCGTGTTGAATTTTATACAATCTACATAAGTATAATAATATTAGTAACTTAAGACGTTTCATAACATTGTATAAGAACAATATTTCAAAAATTACCTCAGAGAAATTCCTTTCCACTACATGCTACTTCTGAACGTTTCAAACGGGAACTCGTCAGATAATTTGACTTCACAATACAGAACTGCATTTAAATAAACACAAATTGGAGTTGGAAA